GGCCTGATTTATTATCAAAACATAAACGAAGAACAAATATGACAGACACCAACCAATGACAAACAATAAAACACCGGCTCCTGGCTTACACGATAGTTTGTCATCACGTTCAGTTAACCATTTTATGATTTATGTTCCTGTTATACAACTCTATACTGTTCACACATCCCCCTCATTTACAAAGCGGCCGGAGGTTTTTGCTTCGGCGTAGCAATTTTGTTAGAATTTCAGGATGAGGAGAATTTTGTACAGGGGGTCAAGTCAATTGTTTTTGCACGAGGAGAGGGAATATATATGATTATTCCTATCATAAGAGATCAGTACACACTTATACAGGCCAGTTTTTCAATTTTATGAAGTGTGAAATTACCAGTTGATTTCATAAGGCACACCAAGTGGTAGCCTAGAGATCAAATGATAAGAAAACTGTCTGTGTCATTGTCATAGAATATATAGTCCTTGTACACATATCCCAGGAACTGAGAATGAAATATTTGGTGCTGTCTCTTCTAGTTTTGGGTAGGTCAAACGTATTGGTACGGAGCTTTATGTAAATTTTGTTAATAATAAATGCCACCGACGTATTTTGTCACTATTCAGAGCTGGTTCGTTACAAATTAAAGTTGAAACAGGTCGATATGCTAGACCACAAGATCGCTTGTGTATATTTTGTGATAGTTGCCAAATTGAAGATGGAGGCAATTTCTTTTTAATTGTTGTTTTTAATCTAATATCAGACATGAATAATATGCCAAAGCCTATCTTTTAAATGTTGATTTTGATTATATATGCGATATTGAAAAACTCCGTTATCCTATGTGTAATGAGAATATGGTTCCTCTTTTAGCTAGTTCCCTTTATTCTAGGTTTTACCGACGAAAACATGTTGTAATCTAGAAATTATATGTGTATTTTTTTTTTATTTGCGAAATACTTTTTACATGTAAAAAAGTTGTCTTTTTATGTATGTATTAAATGTCTGTTTTAATGATAAGTGTCTCATAAGTCGTTTTCGGCTGGCATCCTTTTACTAAACGTTAGGTTCTTATGACTTTATGTATATATATATATAATTTAATTTTGGATGTTACACGTCTTCTGATTGGCTGAAAGTGTTTTGTCTATCAGCTCATAGACATAATTTTGTCATGTGACCGCGACGTCATCAACGTTTTTATCATGATTTATTTCTTCCTTTATCTCACCTGGCACAATGGGCCAAGTGAGCTTTTCTCATCACTTGGCGTCCGTCGTCCGTTAACTTTTACAAAAATCTTCTCTGAAACTACTGGGCCAAATTTAACCAAACTTGGCCACAATCATCATTATGGTATCTAGTTTTAAAAAATGTGTCCGATGACCCCGCCTGCCAACCAACATGACCAACATGGCTAAAAATAGAACATAGTGGTAAAATGCAGTTTTTGGCTTATATATATCTCTGAAACTAAAGCATTTGGAGCAAACCTGACTGGGGTAGAAATGTTCAAGAGGTTAAGATCTATCTGCCCTGAAATTTTCAGACGAATCAGACAACCCGTTGTTGGGTTGCTGCCCCTGATTTGGTAATGTTAAGAAAATTTTGCAGTTTTTGGTTATTATCTTGAATATTATTATGATAGAGATAAACTGTAAACAGCAATAATGTTCAGCAAAGTAAGATCTACAAATAATTCAACATGACCAAAATTGTCAATTGACCCCTTAAGGAGTTATTGCCCTTTGTAGTCAATTTTTCGTAAATTTTTGTAATCTTTCACAAAATTCTTCTCCTCTGAAACTACTGAGACAAATTTAACCAAACTTGGCCACAATCATCATTAGGGTATCTAGTTTAAGAAATGTGTCCGATGACCCCGTTTGCCAACCAACATGGCCAACATGGCTAAACATAGAACATAGGGGTAAACTGCAGTTTTTGGCTTATATCTCTGAAACTAAAGCATTTAGAGCAAATCTGACATCGGTAAAAATGTACATAAGGTTTAGATCTACCTGTCCTGAAATTTTCAGACGAATCAGACAACCCGTTGTTGGGTTGCTGCTCCTGAGTTGGTAATTTTATGGAAATTTCGCAGTTTATGGTTATTATCTTAAATATTATTATAGATAAAGATAAACTGTAAACAGCAATGATGTTCAGCAAAGTACGATCTACAAATAAGTCATGACCAAAATTGTCAATTGACCCCTTAAGGAGTAATTGCTCTTTATAGTCAATTTAAAAAAAAAAATCGTAAATTTTTGTAATCTTTTACAAAAATCTTCTCCACTTAATCTACTGGGCTAAATAGAATTAAAATTAGCCACAATTTTCAATAGGGTATCTTGATTGAAAAATGTATCAAACCAACCAACATGGCCGCCATGGCAAAATTAGAACATAGGGATTTACTATAGAAGTCTAAGGGAAAATTGTAAAAAAAAAAATTCAAATGGTCACAACTTGAAAACTAATTTAAATAATGATAAGGGGTCTTCAGTCACTATTGTAAGACTAGTTACTAGTGGGATGACCTGCTTTTAATTTAACTACTGGGCCAAATTAAACCAAACTTGGCCTGAATCATTATTAGGGTATCTAATACTACTTATTATGATTTTAACCTTATTTTACATGATTTTCAAAACCACAGTAGATACAGGTGAGCGACACATGCTCGGCTTGAGGGCCTCTAGTTATAATTATACTATAAGGAATGACTGTAATATTTTTCTGTCTATTCGAAATAACATAAAAAAAAATGTGGTGCACACTTTTAATTAACCCGCTACGCGGGTTATTCAGTGTGCACCACATTTTCTATGTAATTTCTTCATAGACAGAAAAAAATATTACAGTCATTTTAAATAGATACTGTAATGGATGGGGACACTTTGATCTATAATATTTTTATTTTGATCAATCGTCGAAGAGAACACCAAAGGTATGTAATATATACTAGTAGGTCATATGTCAAAGTCAAAGACAGAATGACACCATTACCAATAACAAAGTTCACACTAGTTCACCATTTGTCATAAATTGTCATAATCAGTTGCTACTGCACATCCGGCTATAGTCATGTGACTAATATTGTCATGTTATTTGTTGTTTTGCTCTACATTCGCCTATCGTCATTATGACAACAGTTTTAGAAGTTGACAGTAATTTTTGATAGATGAATGGACTTGGACTTCATAAAATTGTGTCATTATCTTAATCAAGTGATTTTACTTCATTTGTTATGCCCTATTTGTATCCCGCATTATCGGGAAAACTATGGCACGATTGGCCAATCCTTGGAGAAATAAATAATCAGGATTGGCTTAAAAACTAGATTCACAAGCCTCAATTGTTAATAAAATGTATTTAGCTCATGCCAGTATACCGAACCACTGCTTACTGTCCGAGCACTGACTTTGTCCTATATTGTGATAAGACGGTATCCTGTATTCTGATAATAAATAGCTTGACCTAAGAAAATTTTAACTAGAACATATCTTGAATTGTTCATCTGTACTCCTTTAAAATCGTAGACTAACGCTATCGGGTAAAAGGTAATTGAAGAGAAGCGCTTCGTGCATACCATCCACCAGCCGGGGAGCGAGTGGTATCTCTTTTACCAACTTTCGCTAATCCAATATGTCTTTCAATTTAACTATTTGTGTGACGCATTTTCAAATTAAAAAAGTTTTTTTTTTATTAATTATACCCAATAATGGGCTTATATAACAATTTTATTATCTTGAATGATCCACTGCTCACACACAATGTTTAACACGCAATTGGCGACTACGGTCAAAACTGGTAAGACCCCTTTTTGGCCCCAAAATATTGCATTTTTACAATTTGTTAAAAATGAAAACTTTTCGCTATTCATTGGAAAGTAGAATACTTTTGTTACTTAAAGATAGGCTGTTTTTGACCATAAAATGTACATTCATCAGGTACTAGCATCATTAATTCATGCACAATTACTGAAATCTTCACAGTTTTAGCATTTGTGCTAATTTCAGACAATTTTTGTCTAAAATGGAAATGGCCGCATTTGTGTTCAGTCTTAATATTTAAATATATGTTGTATTTGATGATAAATCATAACATATATGAAGTTTGAGACTGAAAACCAATGCGGTCACTTTCATTTTAGACAAAAACCATCTTAAAAATGACCTTTTATGGTATATTTGATAGATTTTTCATACATAAGCTAAATTTGAGTGTCTTTAATGAACTAATCAGTGCAAATCTTTTACATAAACTAATTGAATCGACTGAGGTAGACACTTCAGTGTTTATTAAATGTCAAAAATCTTTCATCAGATGTACTTAAAATTTTTGGCCAAAATTATCCCTTAAATTACCGGACCTTCTTCTTTAACATTTATCGATGTGTTGTTTTCTAATAACTTCCATATATATGACACCATGTTATCCGTAACTGTATCTGTAGCAGTGCAGTGTCAATGATTGTGTATAAACCCTGACCTTGACAATGTCTCTTGTCTCGGTTGGTCTCAATTCATGGCACACTCCATGGTCTGGTTGTTGATGAATTTTCAGTTACTTAGAAAGAAAAATATTTAGGACCAAAGCAAAAGCTGTATCATACATTGTACTATTTAAAATGTCACTTTAAGGAGTAGCACTAAATATGTAAATAAACACTCGGAGACACGTAAAACTTTAAAAAGGATCACAAAATATAAAACTATTAAATGTGGTTTCTACTAGAATGAAAAATAATCGTCATGTTTTAGAAAGAGAAACATTTAGGACAAAAAAAAATTGTATCATACATTGTATTAAAATATCACTTGCGTTTTCCTATGTTTCATCAAAGTGAGTTTTCCTATGTTCCATCAAAGTGCGTTTTCCTATGTTCCATCAAAGTGCGTTTTCCTATGTTTCATTAAAAAATAATGTCACGTTTATGTGTGCTGTCATATTTACTTTGAATATAGTCTAAATATTAATGTATACAGTATTTGAACTCTTAACTATCCTGTTTGGTTTCACAAGACAATCAAAGAGATAGCTCTGATCTGGAACGATAAGAAAACTACTTAAATCACCTCCTTAGTCAATTCCTTTATCAATTATTTACGCTGGTCTCAGGAAAACATGAAATACTTGGCGCTATCTCTTTTAGTTCTTGGTAAGTTATCCCTTCTTTATTAGATATTGTGATTTCATACGTCGAACAGTTAGACTCTGAATTCATAAGTGCATTGATTTTGCAACTGCTGTTTTTGTTAATCAGGAATGCATTAAGGCCATATGGTATTAGATTTATAATTCTTTATTCTGGCTTTGAACGTTTTATAACTTGATTTGTCAATCTTTTTGTTGGTCAATAGCAAAAATAAGTTTTTAGATTTGCTTTTACTTTTTATACTTACTGGCAATTCAATGCAAATTATCCTAACAAAATTATGCTCGAACTACAATTATCTTCATTTGTGTTCAGAGAATAACCAACACTAAATAAAGAAATAGTCCTCTCAGTGATTAAACAGTGGCGGATTCAAGTGGGGGTGAGGGTGGGGGTGGTAGAGGGTTGATTAAAAAAAAACATATTTTTTGGATTAACATAAAATCGTCCAAATTTTTTCCGCCTACATGATTTACATATATATATATATATATATATATATATATATATATATGACTATGCGGTATGGTGTTTGCTCATTGTTGAAGGCCGTACTGTGACTTAACTATGTCATTTGGTATCTGGTGGAGAGTTGTCTCATTGGCATTATACCACCCCTTCTTATTTTTATGTTCACTTTTATGGAGTTACGTCCTATTATAACTTAAATAACCTGAAACAAGCAACAATTATATTATCAAATAATTATAACAAAAGTTCATATAAAGTTTCAGTGTACAGTGTTTCTGCCAATCAGAAATGTACAGGCTCGCCAAGAAGGTATAAAGGGAAGTCATGCGCTTCAACTACCAACTACCACGATTCTCACAAGGGAGCATGTGGCTGTGGACCCGCAAGTGGAGACAATCAATTTGGATGGAACGCTGGAAGTTTTGTTGCAGCTGCTAGTCAGCTTTATTTCGACGGCGGTCATAAAGGATGGTGTGGAGAGCACTGTGGCCAATGCATAAAACTTACAACAACAGGTACTATCAAGTTCAATACAGTTATACCAAATTTAATTTCTTCTATCATTTACCAAAACATTGCATGCGATATCGATAAGATTTTAGGGAATTAAGAAGGACTAATCTATCCTGTGTATATTTTACAAGCTGTATCCTTACACCGAACATATACGAAAAAATTGTACTAGTTCAACTTAAAGCATAATTTAATGATTTTACAACATTATGTCATATTTGTAAAATAAAAAAAAAAATGAAAAAAATGGCGTATGGTACCGTTAAAAATGGACATTCCAACACGTGGTATTAACACAGACGTATGGTACGGATTTCAGCACACGCGACACGTATTTCTGTAAGAAACCTTCAACAGGTACGATTAAGGCTTAAAATTATGGACGCATAATACATTCAAAAGGAATTGGAAGGACTTTCTTACCAAACACAGAAGCTGCTATGTATAGTATTAAATATATCAATTGATAAGTTTGATGATGACATTCAATGCGAACTACACCTAGACTACATGTATATATAGTGAAATATTCTGGACTTTAACGGTGCTTAATCCAAAAATGTCTGGACTTAAAACGATGCTTAGTCAAGCTTGTCCATAAAATGTGTAAGGGTAGGCATACAATTTATGGGGAGGTAGGGAGGAGCTAAACACTGCATTTTTTTAAAAGACTACAGTGTTTAGGCCTCAACAGGAAATCTGGTTTTGGTCCCATTTGTGCATTGAGATTCGATAAATATATATCGCTGATTCATTTGTTAAGATTGTAAAATTTATGACTGTATACGCTATCATTTACATATTTGCATTTTAGGTGGATATGTTCCAGGCCAGGGAGGGCCTGTTGCCGAAGGACTCTCTAAAACCTTCATGATCACAAATCTGTGTCCAAACATATATCCAAATCAAGATTGGTGCAGTCAAGGGTCACAGTTCGGTGGTCACAACAAATACGGATACGAGCTTCATCTTGATTTAGAAAATGGAAGAAACCAAGTACGAGGAATGGGATGGAACAACCCCGAAACAACTTGGGAGGTGGTCAATTGTAATAATGAGCACAGACATGATGGAAGGACGCCAAGTTATGGATTGTGGGGACAATGTCAATGTGCTCATCAAGGCAAACGGGGTCTTAACGAAACAGATAATGGATCTTTATAAAGGCTTCATCTGATTACAATTTCAAAATTGATCAACGAAATAAATAAAGAATAACATTTAGTTCTCAATCTATTATGTATTTATATATTGGTCCAACAGTAGAAAAATATATATTCATTTCTTCTTTGATATCACATTGCTCCTAGAATTTATGCATATAGTGTTATTGTAAAGCCATCAAAAATGATAGTCAATATATATTGAAAGGAATAGTTAACAAAGAACAATGTACGGTAAGCCCCCGTTTTGCCCCCCCCCCCCCCCACTATTTTCTCATTTTTCAAATTTTGTTTTGGAAAGCTACTTATTATGTTTAAATATACCCTTAGGTTTGAATGAACTTCAAAACCATTAATTTCAGCAACTATGTGAGGTGAGCGGGGTGAAAGGGCATCAAAAACGCCAAAAGTAGGAAAAATTACGATTTTTGGCCTGTGTTTCTTAAAATTTAATAGCGTGCGCCTACGTGACCCGGAGAAAATTATGGCGATCTAGACAGCAAAAACAGTGATAATGACATTGTAATAAAAAAATTCCTGGGTCACGTTGGGGCAGGTACTTAAAAACTAAAGAAAATCGTTGTACGGAATCCAAACAAACTTCAAACCTCAGGGAATATTTTAACATGATAAGTAGCTTTCCAAAACAAAATTTGAAAAATAAGAAAATAGGGGGGCCAAAACAGGGGCTTATCGTACCATGTCCTTTATGAAAAAAATATGGCCCATTTCAAGTCAAATTCAGTACTAGGTCTTTGTGAGACAGAGTCAGGAAACTAGTTGGAAAAGAAAAAAACAAGGAAATAGATATAAAGACATGTCTGGTGATACTCAATCAAATCGTGATATCGACCGTGAACCAAGTCTGAACATAGGAGAGTCTAGATAGGAGGGTCTTCATTTCTATATTCTTTAATTTTTTAGACCATTTTTCTCTATTTTTTATTTTTTTTATCCATTATTCTCCATTCTTTATATTTTGACACTCAATTATACTGACATGCTTAAAAAAATCCTTGTTTGGCGTAATTAAAACGCATTTTTACAACATGACAATACCCTGCTCTTGAAATTTTTCAGCAGTTTACTCTGTTTTATTATTTTTTTGGGCCATTATTCTCTCCTATTCTGCATGTAAACCCCCTCCGGATCCTCACATAACTCTGACTGAACAGTTAAGTGACATCCATTGTGTTCTTTCGTGACCTTGAGAGGCGAATAAGCTTTGATAAAACATGTGATGCAGATATATTACTATTCTTATAAAAAATTATTATTTAGAAAATAAAAAAAAAAAAAAAAAACATATATTATCATTCGTCATTATGCTGAAACGCTATTTTTGTGTTTAACATTGTTTAAAAGATAATCAACAAAAATGTATGATTGTGGTATTTTGAAATTTTTTATCAGTTCTGTTACACAAATTTACCAATAAACAAACAATTGACATTTTCACCTTAATCAATTACATATTTACTTTTCGGTTGTTCTCGTCTCATCGGTTAGCATTCTTATTGATTGAAAACTTTAGCATTCTAACAATTTCTTCTCCTCAGTACATGTTTGAAGCAGTATGATCTTTGACACAAATAATTTTTGTCTCCTGAAAGATTTTTAGTATTAACAGAAACAACTCTGATTAAAGGATTTGAGGCTATGTTTTATCATAAATGATCAAAGTTTAAAAACACATGAAGATACCCAGTGACAATATAAATGGATCACAAGAAAAATAGACAACATTTATTTAAGATATTAAGAAAAAAGACAGAACAATAAAAACAATTCAACACAAAATTAAGCAGGTCGAACCGCAAACAATAATAAAAATAAAGAGATGAGGCATCATTGCCAATGAGACAACTATCCACCAGAGTACAAATGACTTGGAAGTTAGTAACTATAGTCCACTGTACGGCCTTAACAACCTGCTTATGTTCATCAAGGATAAGCAGTTCTTTGACCACTAGTGGCATCAATCATGTTGCTCATTACATAAGGAATCGTATCAATGAATGAGGACAGGAAGACGGAATTATGGCCACAACAAAGTAAACATATTAGTGTGCGTATACTACACCGATATTTCATAGTGGTCAATCTAATCAAAATTGCGTCAGTCCGTAAAAGTTATACGAAGAGATAATTTCAATTTTACATATTGAATCCTTAGTTAAGTATCTTTCTTGTAAGCAGCATTCGTCTATCAAAGATATCTTGATACATAAGCTCTGAAATAGTATATATCAACTGGGAAACATTTACTCCATGTTAAAATATTGATTGAATAATGTTACATAAAATCGGAAAGTCCACAGTGAGAAAATTAAATTATGTCGTAGAGTCCGTTTCAAAACCGACCCGCACTGTCAATATATAAGTATGTAGCAGACCTGGTTGTATCTATGATGTTCTTCATTCCAAGTCAAACTATCCGTCTTGCAATGATCTCCAATATGAAGTTAATATGAAAGCGCTGTTCCTTTGCTTCGTGTGTGTTTTGCTGTGCATGTACTGATTTTGTGTCATAGATGGATATCCCATATCCTTTCTTTTCTATTATCTCAAAGAGGTAAAGAAAACATTGGACGATAAGAGGAGCACAGTTGATTCCCATAGGATTCTCTGACTGTCTGTTCTAATCAAAGTCCATTAAACATAAACAGTGTGTTGTAAATAAAAAATAAAGCATTTAACATCTTGATTTTGTCAATCCAAAAGAATATTATTTTGGAATGTTTTTTTTTAAGTATACATGTTATATGTTCCTTCCTAAGATTTATAAAATTTCATATCTGCGCTTGGCATTCTTTTTCATAAAACACGTTTGCAGTCTAAGTTCGTTCGCACCGTATTCTTATTCAAATATGGGTTGAATTGTTAGATGTTTTTTTTTTAGATATCAAAATATTTATATGTTCATAAATAAAAGTCGTAAATTTCAATTTTTAAAATGATAAAGTGCATATGGAATACGATAAATTAATCATCTCCTTAATATTTCAGTGTTATTTAAGAAATGAAAAAGTGCAAGATTTGAATGATTATGTGATGTTAAAATTGATCATTGTTGATGTTTATGATTGTTTTGAATAATTGTATGAATGTATGATATCGTAATGAATGAAAATAAATCTTATAGATAACTTTAAAAATTAATGAACTTGTCCTTTGATCATCATGACAATATTCATTATTCATTACGTCAAAATAAATCACAAAACACAGAAGAAAAACTGTTAACGTTTTAAATATGTCCCTTTATTTTAAAACTAAAAAAAACTTATTATCTTTATTTTACAGCAATACACTCAGAAAAACACGATTAAAAAATTACTCAATACAAAATCTTTAAAAAGGGTGCGAACGGACCCCGAGTGCAAACATGAAAGGGGTGAACGTGAAACGGAGCGAACGGACCAAGATTCCTCCTAGTAATACTTGTTTAATGAATGGTATAGTTGAATGTCTTGATATAATCAAAATATAGAGAAGTCAAAGTTCAAAATTACGAAACAACTGAAGGTTTTTAGCTTTAAGATATATCATTAAATCTTTGGATTTTATTCTAATTCACATATGATCCAAAGCGGTGGTGAATTAAACCTTGTCAAAGACCTATTTGAGTAAACATTGTCAACGTGCTAGTACAGTAGACCTTTTCAATTGCTGGTAATTATAGATGATAGAACTTTTCAATGAGACAGAGGGGAGCAAATAGCAGACATATCTATATCCAATTAAAATTAACTTCACCTCTAAAGACTGTTTGATTTATAAAGTAACCTGTTTTGTTTTCACTTGGTTTAGATTTTAGAAATTTAGAAGGACCACTAGTTTTTCAGTATCAGAGAAATAAAGATACACTTTAGCATTATCTTTGAAAATATTTATCTGTATTATTTTGTTATTTTGACAGTACAGTAGAAAGTGGTTTTCATCTTCTTTAGATCTACACGTTAGACATGTCCTTAAGGTCAAGTTAAGTCAATGGATCAAGTCACAGATTATTGCTAATTTTTACATACAGCTGCACTTTTGAACTTGAACTTAAACTTAATGGCAAAATAATGCATTTATCCCTTTTGTTTTTTGAAATATAACTAAAAGAATTTTTAAATTCAAAATAAGTGAACATTTGCATAGAAAGCATATAAAATCGATGAAAAAGTTCTTAAATTTGTTTTAAAATCATCAAATCTCTTAAACTAATCTAAAGATTTTTCTTAACAATTGACATGTTTTTAATACATATTTTCCATTTGATAGGGTCAGCGACTTCGTTTTTTATGTATTAACCAATCTGATACAGATAGTTTGTGGTCATAAATCGACGTTTTACGGTTTGCATTTCGACATTTTGCCTATTTTTTTGATTGACTGATGTGTACCGAAAAACATCGGTGACCCTATCATTATTTTACATCATTAAAACCGAGATTTATTTATCAAAAACGTATATCAATTTTAAAGAAAAAAAATTTCATTATTTTTCGATTTCATTGATAGTGTGAACCAAATTTGTGACATTTACTGTACCTTTAATCTAAATCGGACAATCTTAAAGATAAAATTCATGATCTTATTTGATTAAGATTTTTGTTCATTTAAGCTGGTTACTTGTATTTTAATTTCAAGTAATTCTGAATAAAAGTTGCTCTTTAAATATTCTTAGTTAAAATCTTGTTTTCACACTTCTTTCCTATCCTAGCAAACTATGTTTTGTATAATAATGTTCCTTAATTTGTGTAGAATCTAGAGTGTGGATAGTTTCTTTTTTTTTGGGGGGGGGGGGGGGGTGTGAGGGGGGGGGGGGGGGTCGCCATTTCTTTTTTCTTTTCATTTATCACCCCATTATTCTCTTTTCTTTATTTTTTGGCTTATTTTTCAATTCTTTATTTCTTTGTCCTTTATTCTCTTTTTTTGCCCATTATTCCAAAAAGTATGCTGTAAACTCCGTCAAGACCTTCATTTGTATACATTCCTTGTGAATCAAGATATTGTTTTATTCAATATCTTTCAATTAGTAATGGGTTAATGTTTTCAATATTTAATCTTTCTAATATATAC